CTACACTCTTGCTCAAGCATAGCTTGGGCATCAGCTATAGTGACAAAATGGTTAGGCAAGTAAGGATCAGTCTGTCCTTAAGTAGCTAAACTAACGACAATACCATTCGCCTAAGGAATCGCTGGAGGGTTTGGCACCTAGATCAGGGCTTGGTTCTCATGGGATTGGTTAACCGCGGGATTCAAAGCTGCTATAAGCGGAGGGACTTGTGCTGAAAGAACTTGCACTAGCCTGGCCGCCATCGCCAAAATGGCTTCAATGAGGGTCTGCAAGGTAGTCATAATCTCCTTCTGTGTCTGGAAGGGACTAGACTGCCTCAACAACAATGTTGTGGTCATAGTCTTCAGCATGTGTCGCCCTGCCATTCGAGGACCCTTGCTGTTAAGGTTGCTGGTGAACCTCATTCTCTGTTATTCTTTCCAATGTAGTGCGCGTATTAACCATCAACAAAGCTGCCTCTCCAATGGAGTCACCAGAACTAAGAAGCACGGACACGAATACGGATGCAGACACAAATACGGATGCAAACATGGGACATGAAAATTTCAAAAAAATAGGGACACGGACACGGACACGGCGAGGACACGACAATAAAATATGTTTTCATATATTTTTATTTGCTATCTAAATTAATATTACATCCACAAACAATCAATATTATCAAAAACTAACTCGAATTCTAATTTTGTTTAAAAGCACTTTTAAATTAACACTTACCGTGTATATCTTTTTTTTAAGGATGATCTATTAAATATTTAAATCTAAGAAAAAAATAATAAACATTCAACATTCATCAAAAGTGTAAAAATTGATGTATTATTGATTGTTATATTCTGTATTGATATGTATTACAATGATTCATGATTCCTATATATAGAAGAGGGTGAGTGTGTAGTAGGTGAGGAGTAGGTGGAGAGTAGGTGAAGTAGGTGAGTGTGTAGTAGGTGGTAGTGGTAGGTGTGTAGTAGGTGGATTTTAACAGCCCCCCGCAAACTCAAGGGGAATAGGAACTAACCAACTTGAGTTTGGAGAGAGTAACAAAACAAGAAAATACATAAAAATAAAAGAGGATAGGAGACACTGTATAGTCGTGTCAGACTATTGGTGAAGACACTGGATGGTGGTGTCATAACGTTGTAGAGGACACTGTATGGGGGTGTCATAACGTTGTAGAGGACACTGTATGGTGGTGTCATAACGGTGTAGAGGACACTGGATGGCGGTGTCAGACCGATGTAGAAGACAGTTTATGGGGTCATGTCGGACCGATGTAGAAGACAGTTTAGTGACAGTTGTTGTGACAGTTTACGGAGTCTTGCTGGACCCTTGTAGAAACTAACCGGAATCTATGTCGGGACAGTTTACAGAGTCTTGTCGGACTCATGAAGGAGTTAACTGGAATCAATGTTGGGACAGTTTACAGAGTCTTGTCGGACTCATGAAGGAGTTAACTGGAATCAATGTTGGGACAGTTTACAGAGTCTTGTCGGACTCATGAAGGAGTTAACTGGAATCAATGTTGGGACAGTTTACAGAGTCTTGTCGGACTCATGAAGGAGTTAACTGGAATCAATGTTGGGACAGTTTACAGAGTCTTGTCGGACCCATTAAGGAGCTAACCGGAATCAATGTCGGGACAGTTTACAGAGTCTTGTCGGACCCATGAAGGAGCTAACCGGAATTAATGTCGGGACAGTTTACAAAGTCTTGTCGTGTGTCGGTTGCTTTGCAAAAGATGGATTAAAATAAATATAAAAAAAAAGAAAAGAAAGTGGAGAGTGGGTCACAGTGGAGAGAAAGAGACCAGAGAGAGAGAGAGAAACAGAACACTCTTCCAATGGCCACCAAAGTCTATATTGTTTACTACTCGATGTACGGACATGTCGAAAGACTCGCAGAAGAGATAAAGAAAGGAGCTGCTTCTGTTGAAGGAGTTGAGACTAAACTATGGCAGGTGTCGGAAACATTGCCTGATGAGGTTCTAGCAAAGATGAACACACCACCAAAGGGTGATGCGCTGGTCATTACACCCAACGAGCTTGCAGAGGCAGATGGGCTTATTTTCGGCTTCCCCACTAGATTTGGAATGATGGCTGCCCGATTCAGATCTGGGTCTTGTTTTTTCATATCACCCTTCTTAGCCATGAGAGCAGCGGAGAGAAGCCTGGGCAGTCGATCGGACTCAGCGGCCTCAATGCGAGGAGGCCACACTTGAGGGTTCTTATAGCACAGAAACAAATGGCGATCGTAGTAGTCTACGGTCCCAACCAGTGGGCTCTGCCGGAATTCAGTCCGAAAGAACCCAAACTCGAGGTCGCCGCCACCGTCGAGGCTGAGAAAACCCTCATTATTGAAGCTTCCAGAGGCACTCCCAATTTGGGAATTAGGGTCGAGAAGGAAACTGTCTCTGTCGGAGACTGCGATTGGGGACGATGTTGATGATGGGTTCATGGTCGTCGGTGACGCCGTCGTCGTCATAGCCGGGAAGGTGGATCAGATGCAGATCTCAGTATCCTCCCAAAATACAAACTCCAAATCTCTGACTGTGAGGAAAAGCCTGGCGTTGGAGAATTGACAATTGGAGGAGGAGACGATGGTGGCTCGATGTCACCATTGATGAACAAATATGTGTGAGGCAGAGAAGAGTTCAGCTATGATTTTCTGGCAGCGGGGTGAAGGTATGTGTAGAGGTCCGGCGGTAGGCTCATGAACACCTCCTCTTCAAGATCACCATTGAGAAATGCATTCTTAATGTCAAGTTGATGTAGAGGCCAATCTGAATTTACTGCAAGAGATAACAGTACTCTGATGGAATTTATTTTAGCAACAGGAGCAAACGTCTCCTGATAGTCGATCCCATAAGTTTGAGTGAAGCCTTTAGCCACCAGTCTCGCCTTGTATCTCTCAACACTTCCATCTGCGTTACATTTTATCGTAAACACCCATTTACACCCAACTGTTTTCTTGTCTTTGGGTAGATCAACTATCTCCCAAGTACCACTTCTCCTTAAAGCATTCATCTCCTCCATGACTGCTAATTTCCAATTCGGATCATCCAATGCTTCTTGGTCAATTCCATAGAGGAGGATATAAGCTCTAATTACATGTGCTATCCTACTGCACAAGAATTGTGGGATAATGTTAGTCAGATGTATCCTGACCTAGGAAATCAATCTCAAGTTTTCGAATTAACTTTGAAGTAGGTGAGTGTGTAGTAGGTGGTAGTGGTAGGTGTGTAGTAGGTGGATTTTAACAAAAAGTACTAAATAAAATAAGGAGAAAGACAACTTGGCATGTCCCTAATGTATCCCAGAAGTATCCCCGGCTTGTTCCTTGAAAATAAATTAATTAAATAAGGGGACATACCATGTGGTGTGTCCCATACGTGTCCCCAAAGTGTCCATGTGTCCGACACGAATACAACACTTGTTTTGAAGTATCGGTGCTTCATAGTGCCAGAATGTAAGGGGTCCAAAATGAATAGTATAATATTACTTAGAGAGCCAAAGCTATTTATTGAGTCAATAATCTAAGAATGTTAGAGAGTGAGTAGTCAGGTGTGAGTGGAGCAAGTAATCCAGAGAAAGAATGTGCCAGTGCAAAATGTGCAACATATCCACCAAAATCCCAAGAAAATCTTCTGTGGACCTTGGGAAATGGGTCTTATTTATGGTTGGTACCTGAATATACCAAGTGCCAAATAATGAAGCGACACGTGTTGCAGGATATTCTGTCCTAAACCACTAGGCCTTGGTAGACAGGTGTCCCTTGACATGTACTATCTGTTTAGCACAAAATCTCAACAAGTGCCACTGTACTATCTGTTTGGCACAAGTCTCGGCATATACCTTTTTGGTACAAACCTTAGCAAGTGTAATTGTTGTTGCAGCATTTGCCTTCCTAGATTGGTTTGGTAGACAGGTATCCCTTGACATGTACTATCTGTTTAGCACAAAATCTCAACAAGTGCCACTATACTATCTGTTTGGCACAAGCCTCAACATATACCTTTTTGGTACGAACCTCAGCAAGTGTTGTTATTGCAGCACTTGCCTTCTTAGATTGGTTTTTGAAGACATGCATTCTCAAGGCTAATGACCTACTATCAGCCATACTTGTGTATACCTCAACAATCCTCCACCCGTAGCCACCTAACCACAAACTCCCCAGCTTCTTATGGCACGGGCCACAACAAGGGTTGTGCCTTGTACCAAGCCCAAGGAGGGCTCCCTTGGTCCTGTTGTGCAACCAAGGCAGGTCCTTGACCTAGGTAAATGGAAAGGGAGTTCCTTGCTTTCAGGCTACCCTGCTTCCATCTTTGCGGGGTCGCAACAATATACTGACATCTTTGGTGCTACTATTGACTCCAACCAATAAGCGTTAAGGCCTACTATTAGCACCAAGTTATATATGCTTCGGACCTGCTATCAACCCTAGGCTGCTAATGCCATGGGGCCTACTATCAATGCCAATCATCTGTACTAATGCCTTGGGGCCTGCTATCAACGCCAATCATCTGTACATTACTTCGTATAGAGGAGATCTCCCTTAAAGGTTGCTATCACCTCAGGGAGCTATGCCTCAGGACATAGTTGCGGAGATTGGAGTTGCCTCAGCTCTCTTCCCCTCCGTAAGTGTCAAAGGCAGTGCCATAATAAAATGGTGGTGTGAGTTTGCCTCAACAACTGGGCCTCGGCAAGTAGTGTCTCAGCGAGTTCTGTTGGATATTTTTTGCTCTTGGCCCATTTGGCCTAAGCGGTTTGAATCAGGTTCGCTTTTCTAGTTGACCCATTTCTCTTGAGCTTTGACCCATGTTCATTTAATGATACTTATTCGCCTAACTGAGGCAACTTTAATGATTAAGTCAGTGTCTTAATTTCTTCCTCTTACAATAAGCACGTCAAAATATATGACAATGATAAAAGAACCAATAAGAATAGCAAGGTGAAAGCAACAGATGCCAAAAGGCTGAAAAAATATAGTTGTTTAACAAGACACACCAGGTCCGGACGGGAATCTTGAGCTCCCAACACAGCGTGACGATTAGGTTGAGCCTCAACATCCCAAATGAGAACCTAATTAAAATTCAAGAAAACTTAAATGACAAACAATTCCATTGGGAAAATTTCAACATCAAATGAAAAGAGAACAATAGAACATACAAATCTGACTTCTAAAAAAATAAATAAATAAAAGATAGGAAACAATGCATACATCAGGACTGTCAGTATGTGTAGCCACTATCTTGCTGTTCTGTGGAAGCTCTCTGATTCGATTCACCTGCAGTAACATTCAACAAATTCATAATAAGAATTCAAGTCCTTCGCTAATAGAAGTAAAGTTCCAATAATTAATACTTAAAAGATCAATTCATGTTTCAATGAACCAGATTGGGGCAAATTTGGACACAAGTAGACAAAGGCCAAATCTGTATGTTAAGAAATTTACAAAAAGGATCCTGATGCAGAAAATTTACACATGGCCAGCCCACAACTCAGTAACAAACAAAATCAAATTCTTTCAAAAACCAGATCCCTTCAGAGAGTTTCAAAGCTTTTAACACTTTTTATAACTATGCCCCTCAGAACAACATTCAAAAACAGGGGAGCCGCTCCGAAACTTAGATGCAAAATAAAAACAAGAATTCAAATACTGAAGTTTAGAGCAAAATCTATATGGGATCAGATCAATTATCAGCATGCATTTACTCAATAGTGTGGCATCTAAAAAAGTACTAACAAAACAATTTGGGCCAGTTGTATGGACACTAAAAATAAAATAAAAAAAAGCATTGATAGATAAGGATCCCAATAGCCTGACCCAACTAACTGGAATCAGCATGTCTTTTCTCTTTGTCTCCCACCCTAAAAAGCAAGAACAAGAAAAGGCTCAGTTGCCCTCTGTTAAGTTTTTGGTCTTATCTAGCAGTTGCATGTGACAACAATGTCGACTCTTTCATTATATTGGGAAAGTTGGTGACCTCATGTGAATTCTTTCAAAGCAACAGGCAGCCTGATTTGACATTATAGTTTACTCTGATCCCTTCCCCCTCAAGGAGGCAAGTTCCAACGCGACCAACTGCCATTCTAACCAAAATTTATTGATTTATCCTTCACTTACTTTTTTCACATTTTTATTGGAAAATTTTTCATTATTATTAGTTTTTAAAATAAGAACAAAATCATCAGCTGAACATGCACAAGGTTGGTTCATTGATAGCATAGGCATAAAATTGGAGAAAGAAAACTATATCCATCATAGAATTACGTGACACAACAAATATATATATTTTTTATTAATAACACCTCAAAGTAGACAAGACACTTATACACTCAATTACACTCTCACCAGCACATGAATGACTTCACCAAGACCAATACCACTTACACAAGACTTTAATACACACTTGATAACTGACACACACTTCACTGCTATTATATAGCTCTGCACACTTCTCTTGTCTCACTCATGCACTTGACTCGCTTAAGGAGATCTCAACCTATATATAGATGTAGTCACCGACCTACATAGTCAGTTCTCTCATGCTCTCTCTAGAATCTTCTCTCTTCCTTTCTCTCTCTAGGTTGTTCCTCTGTAGAAATCTCTACATATAAATTATATATATATTAATAATGAAAAACAAAAATATTTTCTCATGCTCTCTCTAGAATCTTCGCTCTTCCTTTCTGTCTCTAGATTGTTCCTCTTCATAAATCTCTACATATAAATTATATATATATATTAATAATGAAAAACAAAAATATGTAGGTCGGTGACAACATCTAAGTGAGTAGAGTGCATGAGTGAGACAAGAAAAGTGGGTGAGATGCAACGTGTGAGTGAAGTGTGCAGAGCTATAAAATAGCAGTGAACTGTGTGTCAGTTATCAAGTGTGTATTAAAGTCCTGTGTAAGTGGTTGGTTTGGTGAGAGTGCAATTGAGTGTACTAATGTATAAGTGTCTTGTCTACTTCGAGGTGTTATTAATAAAAAAATATATATATTTGTTGTGTCAAACTCAACATTACACATCTAATAAATATCCGATTATGTTGTTCCTCCCCTAGCAATATGATAGAACGATCGTAAAAGTGACTACATAGCTACACCAATATTGTATTAAAAAAAAGATTTTGTATTAGCCAGAGTATAGCAAAATGTGTCAGTGGCAATAACACATGCTATTGGAAAAAGGCAGCTGAATCTGTATATTTTTTCCTTTCTTTTTAATTAGAAACAAAAAGAAAGTTTATTGATAAAGAAAAAGAAGGTACTAGGAGAGGACAAGGTGTCCTCTTACGCAAAAATACAAAGTTTACCAGTTACCATGCATTCCTTCAATGTAACCTTAGTTCACCATGTCGCCTTTATTAAGTGGTGTTGTGAAATCAAACCAGTAAGATCACAAATTACAACTACTGATCATGACATGAAATAAGTCATAAATAAAAGCAAATTCCTATCAGCAAAAGATGCCTTCTTACATCCGTGATAATAGTGTTTAAGCATGTTTGAAATGGTTACTTGGGTAGTCTTACAACTGGGGACACATGATAACATGAAAAATGTTATGTTCCATTAAAGCCTAATAGACATGTCATATAATTCCCAATGTTTCTCCATTTACACATTTTTAAAATATAAATATGTGAAGATCTTATTTAAAGGGTCCAAAATTCACAGCCATTAAATGTAAGACTGAAGTCTGAAACTAATTGGGAATCAATTTTGTACCCTAACTCTTACAACAAATGTGAAAACATACATAGCAAAGTACATGTGTAGGCTGGAATTAGTTATATATACCTCTCCAGGATGTATAATTGTTTTGAACTTCTTTACGAAAGGAGACCGTGCCTCTTCATTGAACTGAGAGATCAAGCAACCAAAGCATGCCATAAAAAAAATTAATGAAAAGGAAAGTAATTTAATGATAACAGAGGAAGGAAACTGATAAGGAAGTGTTACGATTGTTAAGTCACCTGTGATATGTGCTCTGCAGCAGCAACCCTAGGTTTAACAACTTCACAATTTGCTATGACAAGTGTGTTTGGAACACTACCATCAGTCTATGAAAAAAAATAAGAAAAAAGAAAAACAATAGAATGATCAGCTGCATAACAGACAGATTGTGCATTGAGAATCAACAGCCAATATGAGTGGCCACAGACAAAAAGCTATACATGCAAGAAAAACGAAATTTGCTGCCCCCCTAGTAAGCCTAGTACCGTGATTCACTAAATAAATTTGAAATGTAGTATGGGCAAACAATCTTAACACTTCAAAAAAAGTGTTGTGAACTGTCTAGCCAAAGTCAAAGTGATCCCATAAGTCATGCTGGGTGCTTGTAGGAAAAAGTCTTTCGAGTGACATGCAGCCAGAAGTACGTCCAAACATGTAGACGTATCGATAATTGCACTCAACACTGAGAACTTGATTCAGTGAACTTCCAATACTAATTTATTTAGTTGTAAAACAGCTTTCAACTTTCAAGGCATGTTTGGACATCCCATAAAAATCAAATTGCTTCCATGCTTGACGTACAATTATAAACCCATCAGCTCAAATGATGGTACAAAGAGTCATCAGATTTTAGATAACATTCTACACAATTAGTTGTCAGTGACACCATTAATGTTGACCCAGTGTACCTTCCAGTGCCATACACAATGTAAAAGAAGCATTTTATTTCAACATAATAACAAAGTACAGCTTCAGAATTGATTCAGAAGCACCCAAATGATGTTCAATACCCCCAGCCTCTGTTACATTTCCAAATTTTCTTCATTCAAGTCATATTCAGTGTGTTTGATTTGAGTTTTTTGGATTAAGTTTTTTGAAAACTGAGTTTTTTGGTTTTCGTGTTTTTTTGTTTTTAGTGAATATTTTAAAAATTTTAAACATTTTTTTTACTTTTTTAGATGCACCTTAGTTAGATATATCTAAAAAGTAAAAAAATTGTGAAAAAATATTTTAAAAAATTAATAAATACATAAAAATACAAAAAATGTACTAAATTCTTATATTCTTTTTGTATTTTTGGTATTTAGTGAATTTTTAAAAGATTTTTTTTACAATTTTTTTACTTTTTAGGTGTATTTATGTTAGGTGTGTCTAAAAAGTAAAAAAAATGCCTAAAATATTAAAAAAATTCAGTAAAAACAAAAAACACGGAAAATAAGAAAATAGAATTTGCTGAAAAGTGTTTTTTGAAAAATGGAAACAAGCAAACTCATTAAAATTAACAAAATATATCTATTACTGAGTGCTCTTTTGGGAACCCCCCCAGTAAAAAGCTACGTTTTGTAGCCTCACAAAATGCCAAAGTTGCGTTTTTGGTCATTTGGGAAGTGACCAAAAAGCAGGTTGGGAAATCACGCAACTACCCTCCATGTTTACATCTTGAGAGTTAGGGCAAAGTGTAAATTTCTTAAGTTGGGTTGGGGTATTTTGGTCATTTTAGTGTGATATGACACCATAAACAAATATTAACCCAAAAAACAAAAAAACAGCTTTTTATCGACTTCCCAAATCACTTTCCAAAAAAGCCAAAAAGTTTGGTAAAAGGCTAAAAGTCAGCTTTTTACCATCTTCCCAAAACACCCCTGAATTTGCAAGTAACAAGGCAATGGATTTTCCAGTAACAAGAGGAATGCAATGTGGTGAATACGATGATCTTGCCTGTTCTGAAAGGTAGAGACGCTGGCGATTCTTGTAAGTGGCTTGTTCTAGCTGTGGACCCCATCTATTGTTGCAAAGAAATACATAAAATAAATGAAACTATATTACTACTTAATCAATAATAAGAATACAAACAGATCACAACCAACTCAAAATCAGTAAGATGCATTAACCCAATAATAAATTAAAACTTTGTTGATTATCCATTGATATTAACGCAAAAATGAAAAACAAAATAAAAAAGATACCAAGTAATAGAACCCACAGACGTAACAATAGAAACATTTAGCAGCTTCGGTGAATGGCACTTCATTATGGGGGTGATAAGAGGACCAAATCTACCGAGTATTTGCAGCTTAGTAGCACGAAACTCCTATGGGGGCTCGCTCCTTGCTCTCCGAGACTTGCAGATTGGATGCCAACTCCACAACCGAGTGTGTTCAAATTCCATACTGATGGAGCAGCAAAGGTAATCCAGGATTAGCCAGTCACAATTGGAGATGGATTTGGTAAGTGGATTCCAAGGTTTTGCAGAAACATTGATCTCATTTCTAGCATGGAAGCAGTACTTTGGGCTTTGAGAGATGGTCTTACTAGCTCTAAACATGAAAATCAACAGGCTGGAAGTGGAAACTAATGCAAAAGCCTTGGTACATGTTATCTTTAGGCAGCCTAATGAATTCCACCTAGGGGTGCACAAAATACCCAGAAAACCGATGAACCAAACCAACCTAATCTCTTTGGGTTGGGTTGGGTTGCGTTGGGTCGGTTTTTTCAATACATTGGTTCGGTCCTAGGTCTTAAAATCATCAACCCGATAGGATTGGATTGCGTCTCAATTTAGTCTTAAAATCTTCATGTAATTGGAATTCATTTCCTACCTTCATTCTACACAATTCATTCATAGAAACTAGATAATCTATTCAAAATTTTCTATATTGGCCTATTAACTGATACCATAGCATGTATATTTACTTTTTCACATTGGCTTATTCACATAAACCTTTTTGGTATATACATAATCTACTTTGTTTGTTGGCTTATATTAAATTTTAAGACAATATTTTATTCTTTTGTGTTTGTGTTGTGCTTAAAACTTATTTATTGTAAATCTAATCCTTTATTGTTGATTGATTCACTGTAAGTATAGTGAAACAATGGTTCCAACCCGAGCAACATTAGGTTGGTTTGGTTTGGTTTGGTTCCAATGCATGATTGGTTTGGTTGTAAGTTTAGTGCTAACCAGAACCAACCTAACGAATGCGCACCCCTAATTCCACCATCTGAGTAACCTTGTGCGCATCTAAAGATACCTCCTAATCCAACTCGAAATAACTAAGATTGAATAACCTACAGTGATGGAAACAAGTGTGCCAACATTTTAGCAAATGAGGGCTTCAAGTTTAATGGAGGCATTACTATTTTTTCTTTTTCTCCGGATTGTATTTCATTTCAATTGTTTAAAGATGCTAGAGGAATTAAGAGTCGAAGATATGGAAACTCTAATCTTTAATTCATGTGAGTTCCCTTTCTACCATAAAAATTAAAAATAGTAATTACAACAAAAAAAAAAAAAGAAGCATTTAGCAATAAATGAGTAAAAGCTAGAGAGAGATTGTCAGTAAAAATGATTCAGTAATTCTAGAAACACTAAGTAGTGTACTAACAAACATATCAACTAAGACACAAGACATGTATGTGGGATCCACCACTTGAACTAGGACCCATTTAGGCCTCGTTTGGGAATTGGCTTTTTTAGTGACTTTTTGACACTTTGGAAAATTCTATTCATACATAAAATTTATACAAAAAACTTTACAAGAATGATGTGGCAAGCCATTATTGTATATAAATCCATCTTCAATGGTGTTTTGCTTTGAAGTGAAAGGTTCACAATAAGCCACATCATTATGTATGAATTATTTATTTGTATAGCATTACTCTTTAACTTTTTTATGAGATGGTAAAATTAATGTGTTTGAGAGTGACTTTTTTTAGTCGTAAAAAAATTCGTGAATTGCTAAGAAGAATGACTGTTTTTTTAATGACTTTTTGATTTCTTTAGTGATTTTTTGACTTTCTAACTTCTTTTTTATTTTAATTTTTTCACTATTTTAACCAAAGAACAAAAACCAAACCTTAATATTATGTCTAGTTGGTATGTTTGTTAATAAACTAGTTAGTGTTTCTAACATATCTCAAAAATGATTATCTGACATTATCAAACCAACATAAATCCTACAATCCAAAAATCTAAAAATATACATTTACATATTAAAAATGTTAATAGAAAAAATAAGCAAATAAATTGTTTTGTATATGGTTTCTCATCTAGGTGATGAGAAGGGGGGGGGAAAAAAAAACGATTGTGATTTCTCACCATTTTGTTTGGATAAACAAGAAATAAAAAAAGGATACATGAACTCTCCCTTTTTTTTTCTTTGTATTAAGATGAGTAATTTAGGTATTATAAAAAATTTATAAAGAGCAATTTTCGTTTTTTATCAAATCTCACCACTTTTGATGTAAACCATTTATAGTAGAACTCAGAACTACTGAGCATATGAAGATCAAGGAATTGATAATCTTAAAAAAAAAAAAAATTATAATCTTAGTGATTCCCAGTTGGTGGTCAACCAACTGTCAAGGAAGTATAAGGCTTGTGATAAGAGAATGGCAATGTATGTGGAGAAGGAAAGAGAAATGGCAAGAAGATTCAAAGGCATCAGGGTAGAACAAGCTAGCCTACAACAGTCACCCTGATGCACTCACATGCCTTGCCTCGGCCATTGAATCGAAAGAGCAAAAAGGATGATTTGGGTGGAGTTCTTGCCTAGACCAAGCATCCAACAAGAAGAGTTTATATTGTGCATTGATCTAGGGCCGAATTAGATGCATCCTATTATGAAGTTAGGTATTTTGGTATTTCAGCACTTGTGGCTTGTTGCCCTAATTTCTATATATTTACTGTATGACTAAATTTGCCCATTACAAGTAAAGCGAGAAAGGGTAATTTACAAGGAAAATCAAAGACTAAGAGAATGGCGTGGGGAATGCTAGAAAAGGATTAGGGAGATGGTGGAATTGTTAGAAAAGCTGATAAAAGGAGAGAAAGAAATGACGAAAGGCAAAAGGGAAGAAAGAACTTACAATAAGAAAAAGTGCAAAAGACAACAGATGGAAACCTCATGAACATAAGTCTAATGCGTAAGAGAAAGACACCGGCGGTAACAAGGTTGAAGTTCAAAAAATGGCAAAATTAAGGCTCAGACTATGCTAGGTGTTGCGAAAGGAGAGAAGAAGGTTAAGGTGAGTGGTTGGAGCGTATTTATACTTAAAGCCATCGAAAAGCAAGAGGATAAACGCATGGGAGAGTGAAGGCACAATCATTTTTCACATTTGAAGTTGTCGGGAACATTTTGTTTTTCGTAGTGACAACTGGCGTTTTGCACAACACACCAACAACGAAACACCACGTGATGTAAACAAGACATAAAAGGAAAGGTTGCTCAAACCGAGCAATGGACCGAGCATAGCCCGTAAGTGCTCGCCCTTGGATTGGCTTATATTTAACACATATAAATGGAATTTGGGGATTCATAAAGTGGGTTAAATTTAGCGTGTACTAGGTTGGACTGAGACGAGCACCTGCATGACCCAAGATCAAGCCTCAGCATGGCCTTGGGACGATCTTCTCCGTTGCCTTGGGTCGAACCATGTAAGATCCTGTATTGGGTAAATTGATAAGCCCAAGTTTAAGGATGGCCTAGATTGGGCTGAGCACACTTGAGAAAGAACCATGATGAGTCAGGTAGACTCAAATGATGACCGACCAAGGTACATGGGTGAGTTAGAAAATGTTTCACCCATTTGAGAGTACTTGTCATAGGAAGCCCCATGAATTTTACAAGATAAACATAAGAAGGTTCTATTACATGGGGTAACAGATAGCCTCCTATATTTTGCAAAACAAAGTGGCGGTCCCTCCTTTCTAGGGATAATGATGACCTGACTAGGGGGCACGTGAGGTAGTTATTCTCATGTGCTTCTTAGAAAGCACGGGAGGAAGAACTCTATAACTCTATAAAAGGTAAACTACATCCTCTTTGGATGTAACACTCTCTAAACCCTAATTCTCTACACTCCTTTCATCTCTTTTTCTTTTTTGAATGCTGATTTTTCCATCAGAAGGGCTCCTCCAGCCAAATCCCTGGCTAGGCAGCACTTATGTTATTCGTGGATCATCTAGCTGATTGTGAAACTCCGATTCCATTTGTGCAGAATTCAATCCCGCACATAAAGAGATATCTCTTTCTCAGCATTTCTCATCTCATTAATCATCCAAACAAGAGAAGAAAAATACTCTGTATTTATTTTCCTTTTTTCGCACCAAACAGGTAAAAGGGTAGGGCTTCTGGTGAGTTGCTCTCCGAGCTTCTCATTGTGCTTCATTTGGTTATAAATAAATCAATCAATCAATCAAATTCCAAAAATCTCAGGTTTCTCATTGTTTAAGATATTAAAATATATAAAATAAAAATAAACGCACAAAAAAAACCCAGCCTTGGCTGTGCCCAATACAGCTATGTGTCACATTTTATCATCAACCAAACGAGGGTTTTGAAATAGATACTAAGGACAAGATCAAGTATTGCAGTAATTAATAAAACGACAGCAAGAAAAAACCCTAGAGAGAGAGAGAGGGGGGGGAATGGAGAGTGTAGAAATTGAAAAAAGAAGAAACGGATAGGGAGAGGGTGAGAGTGAGAGTGTAGTACGGACCGGCAAGAAAGAGAAGGCCAGACGAGGTTGTGGTTGGCTAACCAGTCGTAGAGAACGGGGACCAGAGACTTCCATTGAGTGTAACGTTCGTCCACCGACGGCTGTCCTCCCTTTCCCCCTCTCTCCTTCATCTTCTTTCTCTCTCCTCTGCCGCTCTCTTCTGGTTTTGCTTTCCCGCCTATTACACACTCTCTTTCTCCAATTCATTCCTCATTCGGCTGCCTTTTATACAACTTGTCGTCACAGAGGACAAGTTGCTTTTGTGATGTTGATGCACTAACGCCTCATTATTATTATTATTATTATTATTATCATTATTAACCAAAAAAAAAAAAATGTTTTGTAGTTAGAAAATTCTTGGTCTCGAATAGCTCGAATGTTCTAAATGACGTCATTTTGCACTTTTTTTCTTCTTTCTCTGAAACTAACTGAAAAAAGAGAAAAGTAGAGGAGGAGGAGGAGGAAGAAGAGAGAAGGAGAAAATGAGAGAGGGGGAACAGAGAGAAATCTATACATAGATTTGTATAAACGCAGCGAAGGGTCGAGGCGGCGCCAGTGGATGGAGGGATTTGTGACGGTGATGGCGGCGACAGTGGGTGGAAGGATAGTACAGATCCGTGTATGCATATAGATTTATGTATATATGCACATAGAGGAGGGTCGATGGCGGTGCCAATGGGTAGAGAGGTTTGCGACGGTAATGGCCGCACCGGTGGTTTAAGGGAATTCTGGCACCCTCTATTTCCCTTCTCTCACTGTTCCCCTTTCTCCCTCTTCTCTCTTTCTCGCTCTTCTCTCTTCCTCTTTCTTTCTGCTCTGACCTCTCTGATTCAGAGAGAAAAGAGAGGGGGAAAATGGCCAAAACGATGTCATTTTGGGCATTCGAACCATTCGAGGTAAAAAAATTTCGAGCTACCTAGTGGGATTATATTTTTAATGCACTAACGCCGAAATATCCTATTTTAATAATTTTTTAATTAAAATTTGAGGCTGAAAAATTATATTTTATTTTTTATATTTGATCACTTTTTTATTTTGACTCTTAAAATCCTTTTTTTTTTTTTGTAATTTGGTCTTTTATGTTTCAAGTTTTCTCACTTAACTCTTTAAATTAATTTATGTTCAATATTAGACCAAAAAAATGCTACAATAACTGTCATTTTTTGTTTAATTTTGAACAAAAATTAACTTTAAAAGTAAAGTAAAAAAAAACTTGAAACGCGAAAGGTAAAAGTATGAGGAAAAAAAAACAAATTTTAAGGATTAAATTGAGAAAGTGACCAAATATAAAGATTGCAAAGTATAATTTACCCATAAAAAATTAATATGTTTAGAATGATTTTTAAATTTTTTTATTAAAAAAAAATGCAAAAATAGAGAGAGAATTTTTTTTTTAACATTTTTTGTATAAATTGTTTCTTTTTATTTTTTTTTTAGTGACTTCTTAACTTTTAAATTTAAACTTCTCAATGAAGCCCTAATTTGAATACAATAAAATCACTTTTATGTTGTTTCTTATTTTTTTTATTTTCTTTGCAAACTTATTAATAAAGGAGAAGACCAAAAAATAATTACAAAGTAATTGGGAATCAAATAATAATTAGTTGACATGAAAAAAATTAACACAATTACAGAATGAGTGTTGCCATTTACTCTTATATTTCTTCTTTAAACCCCTACTTCTTTCATTTTTTCTTATTCCAATTTTACTCTTTTATGAAAATTCATTTTTATCCATATCCATATCCCTAACCCAAACCCTAATCCCAGCCCCACCACATTAGCTTCTATCGACGCCTCTTCTCCGCCATCTCTAGTTCTGACAATCGTCCTCGCACATGCCCCTCATTTCCCAACCCATCCCCACCACCATCATCAATTTCCCAACCTCCTACAACCACTCCCAAATAGTAGCTACAACTACCCACTCTCTCTCTCTCTCTGTGACAACCCTCACCTCTGTTGAGTGCTAATCTCTGATTAAGCATGATAAGTAACTGCTTATGATGAAATTCTGAATTGATTATATGACTGTGATGTTTGTAATTGCATTTCTATCTGTTAGTTATAGAACGATCTGTTCATGTTTTAAGTTTCAAACTGCGAATTGAAAGCCTTATCGACGACCGATTCAGAAATTAATTAGTGTTATATGCTAATTAGAATTTATGTGATTTTATGATAAGTTAAATTAAAATTTGATTCGGAAGGATTAAATTAGATTAAATATAGTTAAATCACATTAGTTTGAGGTTATTACCAAATTGCCATTGAGTGGCCATCTCCTACAAACTTTGTTTGGACTTAATTGTTGCATTTCATATCATCTCCTCAGTCTTTTTTAGACCCAAACCGTATGAGAGAGGAAGAGTAGAAGAAAAGGGTTAAATTCACCTAGATTTTGCTTGAACTTAAAAGATTTGAAGGTTAATTGCAAAATTGAGCTAGCACTTTTGGAATTCAAGACTTAAGGTAAAGAATTCACCTTCTTGGTTGTAAATTTAAGTTGTTCTTGCATGATTCATGGGAAAATTAGTGATCTAAGTCAAGAATTGAGTTAAAGAGTTGATTTGAGTAGCTAATCCATGCATGCATGCACATACTCTAGCATTTTGAGATTGTTTTCATAAGAATTTCCACATGCATGTCTACATTTAGGTTGTAGTCCATGAATTCATCATGTTTTCGAGTTCAAACTTGCATTTGGTTATGTTTTGGAACATTGGAATCCATTAGAACACTTGCATGTAATGTTCTTGCATTGTTCTTCAAGTTTCCTTTGAATTTGTGTTCAATTGACTTACCTACGGGCTTTGATTTTACAAATTGATTTTTGAAACATGTTGTATTATGGGTTTTCAAGTGTTTTTCAGAAAATTAGCACAAAAGAATCGAATTTAAAACTTTAAAAGTCAAGTTTCATGCTTGAGGATCAATCTGGAAATTCTAGATTTTGGACCCACGCTCGAGCGTAGAAAGTCACACTCGAGCGTGAAATGCATATGCCCAAAAGTTCATATGTTTTGCAGTCCGCTCGAGTGAGGATCTGAGTCTCACGCTCGAGCGGAGGTCGAGTGTCCGTCGAGCGTGAAAATCGTGCATCCAGTACTTTTTTCATGAGTTTACAGTCCGCTTGAGCGAGGGAAGTCACGCTCGAGCGGAGCTCCTTTGTCTGCATGTCCGCTTGAGTGTAGAAAGCCACGCTTGAGCGAGACCCTTGTTTCAGCAAAAATTTGAAAAGTGTTTTAAAGTGTATTTTTGTATCCTCATTTCATCCTAGGCATTCCTAGGCCAAGTTTAAGGCATCTTAATGAGGATCATGTTATAGAACCACACCTGTATAGTTAGGGGCTAAGTTATTAATCCCAA